GGGGGGGGGAAGAGTGGGCTGGGCGATGGAAGAAATAGAAAAGAGATGAACTAAGAAAAGCTGGGAAGGGAAAGACTGGTGAAAGTATCTTGTTTGTCCTCATAATGAAACCAAATTGGAGTATCAAACTGCCACTGCCCGACCTAGAGGCAGAGGTCTACTAAGTTAAGACATATGCATGAGGTCCTTCTATGAAAATTTATGGCCTTAATTAAAGGGTGCTTTTGAAATATTTGTATTGTTTTTTATGCACTATAGACATTGATATTTATCAAAATGCATTTAGTGTCTATCCTGGCAGTTTTGAGGGCCTTATAATCTATAGTTATTTGGTTCAGGAGTTCAGTGTTGATGTTATTTTTTATTCAATGTGCAAGTGTGAACATTTAAAGTGGTTAGCTTTTTTGTTTTTTGGTTGATATAGAATATAATCTCTATGAAGATATCTTCCAGGATTTGCATACGCGTCTTAACAATCAAGGAATTTCTAATATGTGGAAACTTGAATTTTTCTGCGTGATCCTTTTGCAGGTATTCTAGAATGCCTCGGGAATTGTTGCCAACAGTTCTCTCTTCTATTCAAGCTAGGATTGAAGAAGGCTTTTTGTTCAGAAGTGACCAGAATATCCTATTGGTTAGTCCCAGTGGAGTTATGAGCTGTACATTTTTTAGGACCTGCTCATACAAGGAATGCTGAAAATCATTTATGAGATGTCAATTTACAGGCACCAATGAGCAATCATTTAGATTCAGCTAAACTTTGCCAAAAATGATATCCGAGGAACAGCTAGGAATTGTTTGGTTGAATATTGGATCTTGAGCGATTCATTTCATTCATGTCTAACCTATTGCATCTTATAGTTCTGTTTGCAAAGTTGTATTTATGTTTTTCTTTTCTTTTTGGGTTTGGTCTTTTTTCATCCACTTTTTTTTGGTGTCTTCTTTATTACTCCTTCGGTTCCAAAAAGAATGACACTATTTTCTTATTAGTTTGTTAAGAAAAAGCGCCTTTCTAAATTCGGAAGCAATTTAGGTTGAACTTCCCATTTTATCCTTAATGACAAGCTTTTATAGTTTTGTTTGCAAAGTTGTATTTATGACATGTTTAAGATCACAAACTTTGAAAGTCTAATAGCCACACTAATGTATGACATATTTAAGACCTCTAGTTTCAAAAGTCTTCATTTTTTTTCATAAACTCTGTGCTCATTCAAACTATGCCATATAAATTGAAATAGAAGGACTACTTTATTTTTTTAAGAAAGGTTACAAGCGAAACAAGGGGAGTACTTATTTGCTTTCTTTTTGCTTTTTTTTTTTGAAAGAGAGGCACTATTGTTTTCCTGATTGCATGTCTAGTTTTATAGTCTCTTATAATCCAAGGCTGTTTAACTTTGTTTGATGCCCATGACGCGCATGAGTGACTCCAAAACTTACCTTTCTGATTTTTTTATTTGCATTCGTCTTCAGATGGATTTACTTAACTGTCTGGATTCTTCTGTTTTACAATATCCTCAATCCTGAGGCTGTGTACGGGTTATTGTGTCCATAATATTTGAACTTTGGCACCTTAGTTGTCTATTTCACTTACTGGTTTACTGCTCTTTTGGATTGTGTAAAACTATTATCTTGCATTCACGCATGCACATTTTACCTATGACCATATATGCATTTTCTCTAAGTTCTACTGTTACCTTCTCAGACTTACTTCAAAGACAAAACAGAAGTTGAGAACCCTAGGTGTTTTAGCCCCCCCTACTTGGACAATTAAGTTGTTGAGTTCATTTCTTTTCGCCTGTTAACCCAGTTGAAGAAAATAGTGAAGCTCTTTCAAATCAAATCTCTTTTTAGCAGTAATAAACATTTTCTAACCTTTCTGTGTTTTACTTTTCATTTGGAAACACTGACAGATTCTTCCTTTTCTCAAATTTGTTACAGTATGCAATATTAAAAGCTCCTTCGGACATATTCTGTTGACATATACCCTCTGTTACTCTCTAATGCACCTTCTGAAATCCAATTAAAGTTGAGACAGACAGCCTGATGAAGCAATTATTTGAGCCTCTCGTTATTTTATAATCTACTGAAACTGTGGTTAGAGTAACTCTGTAACAATATAATACAGAACAACAAACAAAAGTGTCTATGTAGCTGCTTTATTCAAATGCATGGTTTTGTCTGCAGGCAACCGCAATCAACTGCTTGAGTGCAGCCTTGTCGGTCTCCCCGTTTTCAGTTGACGTCAGAGATATGCTTGTGGCAGAAGTATCAGCAGGTAGTCTCATTGTTCCCTTGGCTGAATAATCAGTACAACAATCTGCATGGGTTCAGGTTGTAACTACTGTAGTAAGCTTTTTTCCTGTTTATTATATTGATCAAGAGCTTTACATCGGGGGGTATCTAATTTGTCAACATGTTGGAACTTCTGCTTTAAGTTAGACAGTGCAAATGGTTCCTAAACTAATTTGCCGGTTAAACCTCTATAATAGTATATTTTTTTAAAAATTTCAGTAAACTGGCTGGTTATCGATCCAACTATTGATAGTATGCCTCTGTATTTGGCCTTTCAGGTTTCGTCAGTTCTCAGTCGAAGTCTGGCATTTTGTCTACATTGTTTCGATATTGTGAACCAGGAGTAAGCCCAGCTGTGGGCTTTGAGGCACTTCAGGTAATTGATCAGTCAATCCAGAAAGTGGTTCACTGATGATTTAGGTTTTCTTGGCTGTATGAAGTTCTACCAATTCTGCGCCCTTCTCCTTTCCATCTTTTGGTTAATTTATGGTCTCCTCTAATTTTACTAATAAATAAGAACTAAAACAGAGATGGTTGATAAAAGTAAGTAGTTGTAACAGTAGGATCCTAAAGAAAATTTTAGTTGCGTGCATTGAAATGTTTCCATTTCATACTTTTTCTAGGCTGTCAGATCTGTGGCACACAACTATCCTAGCGTGATGGTCTTGTGTTGGGAAAAGATTTCTCTTTTAGTTAATGGATTCTTGACCTTCTCTCCTGAGACGAGGTCGTGGAGGGACAATGTTGGAAACTTAAACGAGCCAATTGGAGAAAAAGTCATAACCGCGTCAATCAAGGTGAGATGCCTGCTTATGTTTTGGTTTTTCTTTCCTCTTTTTTGTGCTTCTTTTATCCTGCTTGTGTTACATCTGAAAGCACTGGCGACTTTATATTCTTTGAACGCAAAGTTCTTTTTTTCTTTTTTCCTTTTTTGTTTGGGGTGTCTGGGGGCTGGTAAGTGGCATCATGTTGTCAATTGCCAATTAATTCCTTCTGAAGCAATTGTTTCCTGCAATAGGATGAAAACGAAATGAAAAGTCAACAGGAATTAGGTGACTTATTCCAATCCTATCTGTCCCTGAAATTTACCGTGATTCAAGTAGCCTATGGAGCTAGAGTAAAAAATAATATATCTTCTTTATGGTTTATTACTTCATTGTGCGATGCAACCTCTAGGTAATAGTCACTTTTGATTTTTTTTTTTTTGAGAAGGTAACATATTGTATATTAGTATAACTACACAAAGGGTGTGTAGTCCCCTATATTTACAAGAAGAAGAGAGGAAAAACAACTCCTAATCCCTTGTCTTCTCACAAGGATTCTAGTACATCAAAAGTAGATTCAGGATCTTCTAAAATTTTTGCTTACACCAAAAACAACTCTTATTCACTTTTGATTTTTCTTAAAAGCATTATTCACATTTGTACATTTCAGGAAAAAAATAGGACGTTTATTTGTTTTCTTAAGCTATTGGTGGCTTTTAAAGGTACTTGATTGCTTGAGTCGAAAGAATAATTATCTTTTATTTCTCTTTGATGATTAGTAAGGTATTTTATTGTGATAAAGCATTGGAAGAATCACAGTTTTAAGGTGTATATGCATAAGCAAGATCGCAAAGAGGGTCCCATCTGAGAAATTAGTTTTAATAAGTGGTTCGCAGCTAAGAAGTTCAACCAATTATCTATGCAAATAAGGATATCATGGGCTTTCCAGAAATATATGTAGGGGAAGAAAGACAACCTCTGAATCTGGAGGAAAATAGTTTCATATCCATCGGCACTCTTATTTTCTGTTTTATTCTCTCCAACATTTTCAAATTACTTCCGGTGAATTCTTGTTTTCCTTTTTCTCACGACTCTTCAAACATTCCAGCTATACAATAAGTTGTTAACTTTATCGGTTTTACACAATTAACTCCCAACAATTTGAAGGCCAAAAACTGTTCTACGGCTATTCTGCAGTGTATTAGAAGGTGATCACATTTTTTCCTTCTTTGCACATGAAGCACCAAAACACATGGAAGTTATCGCTCTTAGATTTTAAGCTGTTAATATGGCACACCATGCACTCAATACAAAAAATTTCTTTTGTAGGGGTTTCCTGCTCTTTAAACTTGACCTAGGAAACAGTCCCAATAATTCTTTTTAGTGAAGCTCTATAGGACTCTACTGTGAGGATTCTCTTGCTTGGCCCCTTCCCAATTCAGGTGCTCTTTTACCTTTCCTTGACAGTTAGGAGGATGAGCAATGGAAAAAACTTTTTAATGTGCTCCAGCAATAGAATTCCTATTTACTGGAGTCCAATTGTCTTTTCTTGTTAACATGGCGTTTGGTAGTTGCATATTTTAGATTCCAGGGGTTGCACATGCCCTTGGCTTTCTTTCGAAAAATTTCATGGTCTACTCCCTTATAATTTTTTCCTCCTGCAATTCCAGTTGTGTTACAAGAACATGATGATCATTCTCTTCTCATTCTGCTAGTCAGCAAATAATGTATGACTATCCGCTTATCGGAGCGAAGGGCAAAGGAAAATGCACAGCTGGGTAGGATAGTGAGAAAAGGCATCAAGCTGCATGAAGCTTTCTGAAGCCATTAGTATTTGAATTGATAAAATGGTGTGCAGTTAATTAGAATCTAAGTGCTGGTTTAATTTTGATCCTTGTTTCAGAATCTGTTAGTTGAAAATTATCATAATTGTTGTATTCTGCTTAGCCGGGGTTAACGCGATGCTGGAGGGCTGGAGATAGATCCTAGAGTCTAAAGGTTTCAAGTTGAGCAGGACCAAAGCGGAATACTTGGAGTGGAAGTTGAGTGACAAGACTCATGAAGCGGACGTGGATGTGAAGCTTGATACCCAAGTCATCCCGAGGAGGGATAGTTTCAAGTATCTCGGGTCTATAATCCAAGGTAACAGGGAGATTGATGATGAGGTCTCCCACCGTATTGGTGCGGGGTGGATGAAACGGAGGCTCGCATCCGGTGTTTTGTGTGATAAGAAGGTGCCACCAAGACTTAAGGGTAAGTTATAAAGAGTGGTGGTAGGCCTACTATGTTGTATGAGGCTGAGTATTGGCCAATCAAGAACTCCCATGTTAGGAGGATGAAAGTAGCAGAAGTGAGGATGCTGAGATGGATGTATGGCCATACCAGGAGAGATAAGATTAGGAATGAAGTTATTCGGGACAAACTGGGAATAGCCTCCGTGGAGGACAAGATGCGGGAGTTGAGGCTGAGATGGTTTGGGCACGTGCAGAAGAGGAGTACAGATGCTCCTGTTAGGAGGTGTGAGAGGCTGGCCATGGCGGGGCTGAGAAGAGGTAGAGGTAGGCCAAAGAAGTATTGGGGAGAGGTGATTAGGCAGGACATGACGCTACTTCAGCTCATTGAGGACATGACCCAGGATAGAAGGGTGTGGAGGTCGAGGATTAGGGTAGAAGACTAGTAGGTAGTCGAGAGTTCCCCGTTCTTGTCTAGTAGTATTAGTAGCGCTCTTGTTTTTTTTTTCATATTCTTTGACCTCTAGTATTTGCCTATTATTTCGTTCACTCCATGTATCGTATTTCCTATTTGTTACTATTTGATGCTACTTTTTCTTTTACTTGTTGTTGTTGTTGTCTTTTTCTCCTTTTCCTTATCGTCCTTTGTCTCCCTCTTCTTTCTTTATTCCTCCTCTTTCTTCTTTGTCTTCTTCCCTTTTCTCTCTTTTCACCTTTTCTTGAGCCAATAGTCTATTGGAAATAGCCTCTCTACCTCGCCAGGTAGGAGTAAGGTCTGTGTACACACTACCCTCCCCATACCCAACTTGTGAGATTATACTGGGTATGTTGTTATATTCTGTTTAGCATTAGCAACTACAAGTTCCACCTGAAAAAAAGAAGAAAATGCTGCATTTAGAAGGGGTCGATTTCTTAACTGGTAATTGTATTATGTTCTCTGGAGGTTAGTGTGACATGAATGTTCTGCAGGTTTTGGATGAATGTCTTCGTGCAATCTCTGGATTTAAGGGGACTGAAGATCTTTCTAGTGATATATCACTTGATAGCCCTTTCACATCTGACTATGTCAAACTAAAAACAATCTCATCGGCTCCATCTTATGGGCCACATGATTGTGCAGTAAATAATGATGGAGCTGAAAAGCTGTCAGGAAGTGAGCAGTGGCTGGAAGCAATTGTCAGGCATTTGCCTCTTATCAGTCAGCATTCTTCTCCAATGGTTAGTTCATATATACTTTTTTCCAATTTCTCTAGATTTTATTACTCATACCATACTATAAGAAGTTAGTGAAGTAGGGAAAAGAAAAAGAAGTTGCACATTTAAAAGGCTCATTTGAATTCTGATTGCTGCGAAGCCTCTGAACTACTTTTACTGCCTACTCAAGTACTTATTGAATTCATGTATAAGTTCAAGAAAACAATCTTGTTTACGATTTTTAACCTGCAAGTGACTCATTGTTAGTATTCGTTGCCTTGTTAATGGAGAACCCATTAAAAGCTGCTAGGTAACTGTATGAATTGGAGCTGTTGATGTCCAGAATGGTAGTTAAAGGCACTTGTTTTCTGCTCTCATAGGGGGATATATACATAAATACCCACAATGAGAGCTCCCAAAGTTGAATATGCCTAAAATTGTAGGTCAATATATGTCACGCTCAAGTAAAGTGCAGTGGGAGTTGTGGCTGTTTCTTATATGGTGTAGTTATTTATTGTGTCCAAGAAGGTTAACAAGTTAAAGCTGCCTATGGTGTAGGTGTTCCCTTTATAACAATATAAGCTTTTAGATGAGATGATCACATAATTCAACAATATTTGTTCTCCCAGAATACTTTAGAGCATGCATGCTAATCATCAAATTGAGTTAATGCATAGAGATCTTGTATTAATCTCTCTCGTAGAAGTTTCCAGCCTGCTGTTCTGTGACTCATTTATTCTAATTACTTTGCTTTGCTCCTTTAGGTGAGGGCTGCCTCAGTTACTTGTTTTGCTGGAATTACTTCCACAGTTTTCTTTTCTCTGCCAAAGGATAAACAAGATTTCATCCTGAGCTCTTGTGTAAGTTTTTGCTACATAACTGATTAGTGCTTTGGCACTTTATCTTTTTTTTTTTCCAAGTATACAGAACGATCATGACAATTCAAGTTGTACTTGCGAAATCTTCTCAGGTTAAAACTGCAAAAAGTGATGAGGTTCCAAATGTTAGATCAGCTGCTTGTCGTGCTATTGGTGTAATTGCTTGTTTTCCACACATTTTCCAGAGGTACTCAGAGTCATTTAGCCTTGGTTTCTCGTTGGAGGCATTATTTGAACTCTATTGAATTGTGTGACCACCTCATCTAGAAGCTTAAGCTTAAACTGTTAGAGAGAGTATATTTTAATTTACTTGTTATATTTTGTCTCCTAGGCTCTCTCATGTGTGCCTGATTCTTTTTCATGGGCCAAACACATGAACATGTTTTCTTCTTTTTTTTCCGGTGGCAGTGAGATTTGAACTCTGGCCTTTGCTTGCTTTGATACCATGTTGAATTGTGTGTCCACCTCATCTAAAAGCTTAAGCTTAAACAGTTAGAAAGAAAACATTTTAATTTATGTAGTTACATTTTGCTAGTCAGCAGACTCATTTACTCTCATTCTTTGTTAGCGAGTAAATATATGTTCCAATCTTGGCAGTGCAGAGCTTTTTGACAAGTTCATTTCTCCTGCTGTGCACAACAGTAATGATTCCTCAATATCGGTTGGTTTCAATATCCTGTTTTTGCATACCTTATCCTTTTCAACATATTAACCTAGTAAAAAGTTACAGGCAAACTTAACGTGCTAACTTTCAGGTACGCATAACAGCCTCGTGGGCTTTAGCTAATATATGTGATGCACTTCGCCACCATGTTGATGTACATGGATTTGAGAACTTCTCTTCAGGTCCTTTGAACTTCTGAATGCTTTTAGATCTTTTTGTTGTGTAACAATACCTTTAGATGTCTTATTGCTCTTCTATATGAATGATTCAACAGTGAGTTCGCGGTCGATCTCCTTGCTGATGAACTGTGCTTTACACCTTACAAACGATAATGACAAGGTAAGCCATGCTGTTAGCTATATCTGCTACTTCCAGTTCTTCTTTCTTGACATTTTTGTCATGTTAGCTATCACAGTTTACCATTTATATCTCATGTTTTGTGATATCAGGTCAAAGCAAACGCCGTAAGAGCATTGGGTAACCTTGCAAGAGTTGTTAGGTTTTCAAGTCGATCGTGTGCTTATGATAGGCAAGCAGATTCAATGGTCGTATCTTCTGAGGCCAAGCCCACAAAAGATTTGTCCGTTTGCGAGGATCTGGGAGGTTGTCCAAGTGCACATAACACTCCCTTGGAAAATTTTAAATGGCTTGAGAAGATGGTGCAGGCATTTATTTCATGTGTTACAACTGGAAACGTTAAGGTATTTTTTCTCCCTCATAGTGCGCATCAGGTAAAAAGCAAAAAAAGAAAGAATGAAAAGGAATAGTAGATATCATACCCTGAATTACATGTGTCCTCCAAGTACAGTAACTGCATACTTAAAGGGGTTGGCATTGGTATCAGGTACAATGGAATGTTTGCTACTCATTGAGCAACTTGTTTTCCAATCCAACATTGAAGCTGGAAAACATGGTTTGGTGAGTACTTCCTAACCTTGTCCTAATCTTCTATTTAGCATGTCTTTGTTTTCTATTGATGTTGGATGGCCATGTCATTATGCCTAGAGATGTTGGATGGCTTTTGTTACACGATTCAGTATTTGGCATCCTCGTCCTCAAAAACCCATGTCAACTTAACAGAAACATTGCTAGGTAAATTGGTTTCAGATTGTGGGAGTTACATGGATATATCCAACCTGGCGAGCCAAAGAGGATGAATGGATAAAGTTGAGGACCAAGTTGATTATCTCATCTCTTGGGTTCCTTAATGAATCTCATCCAAGGCCTTTTTTGGGTTTTAGTGCCATAAGTAGAAGAGAGTATAGACGAAAATAACATCTACAAGTTTCATAAGAGAGGACCTGGTTACTTCTATGGGTCTGATTATATAAGTGGATATTAGCAAATTCAAGCACCATTTAAACA